CTCCTACCAGAGTAGTTATCACATTTTTTTTAAAGATATACATTTTTTGCCTGCCTCCTTGGTATACTTAGACTCTTTAAACATCAGCTATATTTTTGGTTAACTGTTTTTCTTTAACAAATAGCCTAGTATATGACATGTAATAGGTGCTACATACAAATTTATCTAAGTCATCGATTTAATGTTCAAAGAATATTTATGTGATCTATAAAATAAATGTTGTTTTTTTTAAGTAATGGGTTAACTTAACATGCTATTGTCATCTAAATCTAGCTTGTATTTATTTTGAAATATAATTACTTTAAATTAATTCTATAATTAATATATTATACAGTATTATAGTCACATATCATAATATATTCACCTTTAATTGCAAACTTTGTTAATATATCTGCATTTGATATTCACAATTTTAATATATACTTTTAATTAATTTTATTATGTGAAATCAGACTTTTTCCCTGTAAGACTGTCCTGTTTTCAAGACAAACAAAAAATTGCAGATATTTTTACCACATTGTAACATGTTTAATGATAAATAGTCTATAAGAAGAGACATGAAAATTAATTTTACAATTTTTCAGAAACAACAATTGCTATCAAAGGTAGAGCGTAAGGTGGAAGAATTGGGGCTAAGGACTTTTTTTGATTTTTGTATTGGGCTTTTTCACTTTGGGTTTCTTCATAGTTGATATAGATCTTATTAAGAGTAACTATGCTATTAAACATTTCTTAAAACAAGTTATTAGCCAAAAAGGGAACATTGAAATTTTCTTCAGCTTAAAATTAGTTATAATCATTGTTTTCATTTTTAAAGTTAAAAATCAAATTTATATAAATGAGAATAGAAATATTGGCAAAGCTAGACACATCATTCACTGTTATCACACCTTTCATGAAAATGATTAATGGTGATGTATTTATGAATTAGACCCTTGGGTGTATATTGGATATAGTTCAGCTTCTGAATATGGTATCTATACACTGTCACTTTCATTTTAATAGCTACTTATGCAAATGCAAAGGCTTTTTAACACTTAAATGAATTGAGCTATATTGACCTTTTAATATATTAATAAGGATTTCCAGTTAAGACACTTGCATAAAAATAAGAATGAAATATTTGCTAGAAGAATAAGGTATTATTCATGCTCCAAGAAACAATAAATTTCAGTACTTTTTATTAACATTCAAACTTTTTGTTTCCTAATACATAATTGTAGGAATAGAGTGCTGTTTCTGTTTCCTTGTGCCATAACACATTGTTACAAATTACTATTGTAAGTTCCTACATGAGATTGCTTTAGAACTTGAGTTAAGTCTAAACATTACACTGTCCCAGAAGTAATTCAAAAAATATAATATAGGCTTTTTGTTCACTCTACTCCAACCTCACTGGCTTCCTTGCTATCCCTTCGAAAGCTAGTTTTTCTGCCTGAATGCTCTTCCTTAAAATATCCATAAGACTAGCTTCCTCACATCTTTCAAGTTAGAATAACAGAGATCACATTACTCTTCCTAGTGAAATCACTCCCCCAGACTGGAAAAAATATATGAAATGATAGTTTTCTAAAACAGGATAGTAAAAAATGAAGGACAACAATCTTAAGAAATGTTAAACAAATGAGAAAAGTATTCAATATCCTCATCAAGATATTGTAATGGTGGTGCCTGTTTGGGGGCAAAGTGGAGGGATTAAGAAAAAAAAAAGGAGAGAGACAGAAAACTCATGAACATAACAACAGGATGGGGTTGTTGAGTAAAATGAGAGAGGTTTAGGGTGATGAATAGAGATTTGACTTGGGTGGTGAACACACAATACAGGGTACAGTTGATGTATTGTAGAATTGTGCACCTGAAACCTGTATAATTTTGTTAATCAGTGTAACCCCAATAAATTCAATAAAAAGGGGAAAAAAACCAATTTCCTAACTGCAAGAAGGTAAGCATTCAATTGTCCCACCTTACTGCCTCAAGGCAATTTTCTAACCAAGGTGGAGTCCCCAGAAATTCCCTGATCTGTAGAGATAATGCTAAGAGATTAGGTAAACCATGGCAGACTGAGAGAGCTGAACAAAATGTCCAGAAATATGCAAAGAGGCCCCCTAGAATATTAATCACAGTACTGACTAGTACATGTGGGTCAAGAAAAATATCCAAAACTGGCAAAAGAAATAACAATCTTTAGTGTTCATGCAGGGCTGGAAATCATAACTAATTCCCACCAGGTAGGCATGTTTCTAATTCATGGAGAACTGGGTAGATTACTCAGAAGGGTCTTGTCTTAGTAGTGAGATCAGTTTGGACCTAGACTAAATGCTAGAATGTTACCAACTAATAAATACTTAATGCATAACCTGCAAGAATCAAATGAAGTGAAGTAGTTTAACTGTCCTCCAGGACAAAGTTCAAAACTATTTATAGGAATACAAAAATATCCAGCACCCAGCAAGGTAAATTATACAAAGTCTTACTTACAAGCAAATATTATCATGCATGCTAAGAACCAGAAGAATACAATTCTTAATAAGGAGAATAATCAATCAAAACTGATCCAGAACTGACACAGGTATTAGAATGATCAAACAAAGGAAAAAAAGGCATTATACCTGTATCCTATATATTCAAATAGTTATATAACTATGTGAACATTATTAGAAAAACCCAAATTTAGTGTCAAGAGCTTAAAATCTCAGCAGTGGAGATGGAAAATAAACTGAAATGAATTAACAGAAGACTAGATATTAGAAAAGAAAAGAATAATAAATCTAAAAACATAGCAATGAAAATGATTCGTAATGAAACAAAGAGAGTAGAAAAGTTAAATGAAGACAGTATCAGTAAATGATAGCAAATTTTAAGTGGCCTAATATCTGTATAGTAGGAGTTGTCTAAGAAGAGCAACAATATTTTAAAAATTAATATTCACAAATCTCCAACTTGATTAAAACTATTAAGCCACAGCTCTCAATAGCTCAACAAAATAAAAGCACAAGAAACATTAACTATCCATCACAAATATCATCATATTCAAATTTCTCAAGCCCAGTGATAAGTAGACATTTTAAAGCAGCCTGAGAATAAAAATGCCATGCAATGTCAAAAGAATATAAGTCAGAATTACAGCAGATTTCTCACTAGACACAACACAAGTGAGAAGGCAGTGGAGCAACATGCAGGAGAGCTTGGCAAAAGTAGGTTTATAGTTGAAAGTACATGAAAAAGAGTTTATTCTTGTATTATTATTTATTAACTAGAGGCCCAGTGCATGAATTCCTGCACCAGTGGGGTCCCTTGGCCTGGCCTGCAGGATCGGACTGAAACTGGCTCTCTGACATCCCCCAAAAGGTCCCAGATTGTGACAGGGTGCAGGCCAGGCCAAGTGACCCTACTGGTGAACGACCAGGGCTGGGGAGGGACAAGGGAGGTTGGCCAGCTGGAGAGGGTTCTAGGGTGTGTCTGGCCAGTCTTGTTCAGTCCCAATTGGCCAGACCACAGTAGCAAGCTAATCTACCAGTCAAAGTATCTACCCCCTGGTGGTCAGCACATCATAGTGAGCAGTTGAGCGGCCTTAGCATATCATTAGCATATTATGCTTCGATTGGTTGAATGGACAAGTGGACAGTTAGCATGTTAGGCTTTTATTATATAGGATTATTGCATTATTTTCCATACAGACACCTATAAACCTACTTTTGCCAACCCTTGTATTTATTTTTTGAGCCAGGGATCACAATACATACATTTCTTCTAATACAAAAATTTATCTAATTTTTTCCAAGTATTACATACATGCTATTTGAAAACTACAAATAAAATAAAAAGTCTTAAAAAGAAAAGCAATTTTACCATGCCTTAGAGTCCTTCTTTCTATTAAACTGCTTTGCCTGATTTATTTCCAAGTGGATAAAACTTTCTAAATGTTTTTATTAAATTATATTTGACATTAAATAGTATACTAGTTTCAGGTGTATAACATTGTGATTCAACACTTATAGTACTTACAATGTGATCACTACAATAAGTCTAGTAACCATCATTCACCATATAAAGTTATTATAATAGTTTGACTGTTTTCCCTATTACATCCCTCTGACTTACTTTTTTTTTTTTTTTTTTTTAATAACCGGAGATTTGTACTTCACTTTTTTCACCTATCCTTCCTTCCTCACTTCCCTCTGGCAACAATCAATTTGTTCTTTGTATCTATGAGTCTGTTTCTGTTTTGTTTGCTTTGTTTTATTTATTTTTTTATTCTACTTATAAGTGGAATCAGATGGTATTTGTCTTCCTCTGTCTGACTTATTTCACTTATCACAATGACCTCTAGGTCCATCTGTCAGTGGTGGTCAAAGGGGTCGCTGGCTGGAGATAACCTCTGGCCAGAGACCGATCTCTGAGCCCCCAGTTCTTGTTTGCTTGTAGGAATAAATTCAAGCAAGAGACAACAAATAGAAGCAAAAGCAAGAGAGGATTTATTTGTAGGAAAGAAATACACTCAGGCCCTGAGCAGGCAGCTCAGCTGGCTGAGATGGAACCGAGTGCCCCCATATTTGGGAGTTTTGAGGATTTATACCCCTAGGCTTGAATGCCCCCAGGAAAGGAGAAAGTCAGCCCCTCCCTAATGTCTCAAAAAAAATGTATCTTTAACCTATAAGGCTCCTTCACCAGGTGTTATGCCACCAGTTGGACCACATTTTGGAGGGCTCTGAAACTTTCCTGCTCACATAGAGGCCTGCCACCTCCATTGTCTATTTTCATTTTGTCACGTCTCACATTTACTTCCTCCAAGCCCAGCTGCCTCTCCCAGCCTCTCCCAGCCTCTCATAGCTTTCTATCTGCCTACTCTAACACTTCCATGTTGTCACAAATGGTAATACTCCATACTTTTTTACGAGTAACATTCCATTGTGTGTGTATAACACATTTTCTTTCTCCATTCATCTATTTTTTTTTTAACAGAGGTCAGCTTTTATTGACTGTGTCACAAAAGAGCTAGTTTAGACAAAAAGACCAAAGCCCATGTCATCATCAGACTCCCCAGATTGTTCTTTCTTTGTTTCCACTTTTTTTTTTAATCTTTAAATTCTTTATTAGTTAAAGAATTACAAATGTGTCCTTCTCCTCAGCTGGGGCAGAAGCGGTGGAGGGGGCAGGACCTCCTGCTGGTGCAGCACTAGCTGCAGGGGCAGGCCCACCAGCCCCTACATTGCAGATGAGACTCCCAATCTTGACATTGGCCAGAGCCTTTGCAAACAAGCCTGGCCAGAAAGGTTCAACATATACACCAGCTGCTTTAATGAAGGTATTGATCTTATCCTCCGTCACCGTCACTTCATCGTCGTCGTGCAGGACAAGGGCCAAGTAGATGCAGGCGAGCTCCAAGACAGGCCATGGTGAGGGTGAGTGCTGGGCGAGCACTGCCAGGAGTGGTGAAGCGAGGGTCTCACCCCAACTCAGCCTTAGCTTCCTCGGAAGACACCACGAGCACCTTACCGGCAGCTGGGGAAAGGGGTCGCTCATCTATTGATGGACACTTAATTTGCTTCTATATCTTGGCTATTGTAAATAATGCTGCAATTAATATGGGGGTGTCTATATCTTTTCAAATTAGTGTTTTCTTTTTTTTAAGATATATACCCAGAAGTAGAATTGCTGGATTGTATAGTAATTCTATTTTAAATTTTTGGAGGAATCTCCATACTGTTTTTCTTAGTGGCCGTACCACTTTACCATCCCACCAAGAGTTCCCAAGGGATCACTTGTCTCCACATCCTCACCAACACTTGTTATCTATTGACTTTTTTATAATAGCCATGCTATCAGGTGTGAGGTGAAACCTCATTGTGGTTTTGATGTGTGTTTTTTATGATTAGTAATATTGAGTATCTTTTCTTATAAATTTGTCTACTTTTAGTTATTCTGTTAATTACATATACACCTCTAATTGTATTTATACTGCATTTAAAAATGTTTTATTCACTGCTTTCATGTCAATTATCAATTGACTAATTTTTTAATAAATAAGGACTTATCTTACAACCTACAGTTTCTCTCCATATTCAAAATGCTGTTATGCCCCACTGTCCTTAGATCATTGACAAATTATCACTGACATGTCAAACAGCATATATTAGAACTTCCATTTTTTTATTCAACAAACCATGGTCTGCCTGTCTCCTTCTTCTCCCTTCCCCTCCCATCCCTTCCCCTCCCCTCCCCTCCCCTGCCCTCCCCTTCCTTCCCTCTCTCCTTTCCTTCCCTTCCCTTCCCTCCTTCCCTTCCCTTCCCTTCCCTTCCCTTCCCTTCCCTTCCCTTCCCTTCCCTTCCCTTCCCTTCCCTTCCCTTCCCTTCCCTTCCCTTCCCTTCCTTCCCTTCCCTCTCTCTGGATTATTCTTCTTCTATTTATTTATCTTAAGTATAATTTATATAGAAAAATTGCCTTTATAGCATTTAGTTCTGTGAGATTTCACAAATGCATACAGTCAAATGACAACCACCACAATCAGAATGTAAATCTTTATAGTTTGTGCATTTATGTACCTTATGTACAAGACATATTATACCATTCACATACAGGGTGAGAACTTTGTAACAGTATACGTCCAATATACTTCCAATATATATAAGTACTCAGTATCATTTACTTTACCTTTACCATTTCTAAGGCTCATAATTTCTTTGTGAAGATTCAATTTTTTTTTTCTACCTGAAGAAATTCTTTCACATTATTGTAGTATAGATGTGCTGGCAATACATCTCCTCAGCTGTTTTTATTTTTGTTATGTTTTCTTTTTATCTAAATGTTTTATTTTACTTTTAATTTTCAAAGCTGTGTTGGTGGGTAAAGATATATATATATATATATATATATATATATATATATATATATATATATATATATATACCATAGAGTTTGAGATGTTCCCACAGCTTTTTTTTCTTACTATTTACTCTTTTCCTTACATTTTGTATAATTTCCAGTGACCTAAATTCGTGTTCACTAATTGTTTACTCATCTGTGTTACAATTATTTTTACTCATCTCTTTCTTTTAATTCTAACACTGTGTTGAAATGTCTACTTTTTCACTTAAGTAGTCCACCTTTCCCACTCTATGTTTTAGTAAATTAATCACAATTATTTCAATGTCCATGTCCAAGGAAGGGTTCTAAAATCTAAATAGTCTCTAATTTTTGTTCCATTGACTGCTTTGTTTCTTAACAATTAATTGAGTTTTCTTACATTTTTAGTGTCTCATAAATTTTGATTGTATATCATGCATCCCAGGTTGAACAGGAGAAAGTTAGGAAAGAAATATTTATACTTATAAATGGACATTGTCATCTAAGTCAATTAGTGAGGAAATTGAGTTAATCTTGAGGAACAAGTTAAATTTGAATTTTAGTTGCTGTTATTTTTGCTATGGTTGTGTTCAGTGTACTGCAGATTTCAAATTCATCTGATGCTGCCATGTACTTTTAATGAGTTTGCCAGAGAGTTTTTCTCAATGTTTGAGTCGTATTCCAAGCTTTCTGTTTTTTCATTGGAATTTGCTGACTATACCACAGAATACTACACAAGAACTGTATAAAAAGAAAAATTATAGTTCAAACCAACACATAAAAATAGGTGAAAATATTCTTAAGACAATATTACCAAAGTGATTATAATTTTTATAAATATGCTACATAATGATAATTGATTTTAACCTGTGCATACAAGTTTGGTTTACTACTAGCAAATCTACTATGGAATAACACTGTATTAAAAGATTAAGTTGAAATACCATTTAATCTTTTCATTAGAGGAAGAAAGTACATTCAATAAAACACATTGTTGATTAATCATAAAAGCTCTTAATAAACCAAGGGTAACAGAAAACTTCTCTACACTGAATAATGAATACCTACTTCAAATATAGTGTCATTATCATATTTAATATTAGAATGTCAGAAGCATTCTTTTTAAAATCAAGAGTACTAAAATATACCAACTCGATCCCATGTAATTCTCTATTGAAAAATGATTCTAGAGATAATGCAGGAAGACAGTAAAATGTAGTTAAAACCTAAGGGCTTGAAAGAAAGAATTAGAAATGTCATATTCCATTGATGACTATGAATTGTCACAATATACAAAATAATCTAGTGTTGGAACAATTAATTTTCTATTGCATTTTTTTCTTCTGCCACATGCAAAAATAATTTCAAAAAGAAAACTAAAAGCATAGATATGAAAAGCAAAGATTTAAAACATCAAGAAATAATAGGATAGAATATATTTATCATTTGGAGTAGGGTAAACTATTTTAAGCAAGATTTGAAAGTTATGCTTGGTAAATACGTAGTAAATAAATAAAATTGCATTAAATAACATACTTTAAAATTTTTGAGGCAAATGTGTTCAGTGTATTTGTCCAAAAATAATATTTAATAGATAAGGCGTGAAAGTCAATTTTAAAAAATAAAATAATGAAATATCAGGTATTGTTTTGGAGAAGAAACATAAACAGGCATAAAAAATAATGTGGTCTATTTCATAAATAATAGATAGAAAAATGCAAGTTAAAACCACAATGAGATGTCATTTTAAGCCATCAGTTATGTTATGGAATACTTATCAATTTGAATTTGATATTTCCTAGGGTTAGCTTTCAGACTACTCTTTATGGAAAAACAAAATAAAACAAAAATAAAAAGTGAATATGTGTTCTTTGCATCTTGACAAATGGTGCATGGTTTTTAATTGTTCTTTTTTTATATATTTACTTTGATCACTTGATTAAGGTAGTGTCTGACAGGTCTTACTCTGTAGAGTAAGTAATTTCTCCCATTGTATTCATAACTAATTTGCCAGTGGGTATTTGAGACAATGTAAGTGTCATATCGCTCAATAAAATTTTATCCATTGATTTTACCATGCATTGAAGCATTTTTTATGAAATAATTATTGCAAAGATTACTTTTAAATCAACTTTTAAACTTCATCATTCTTTTTATATGCATTTTAAGATTATATTAAAGAATCTTTTACTATCTTTATTTGTGTATTCATTTATATCAATGATGACTCATGAATTGTTTTATCCTGGGGGGGTTATATGTAATCTTTAATTGTATTTATTTTAATTTAACGACAACTCTGTCTCATTTATTGGTTGGATGTTTCACATCTTTTTCAATATATTCTTATTCTGTGGTACAATAAGATTTTCTAGGCTCATCTTGTACTTGTCCAAACCTGGGATCACCATCCATTATTAATTATGAGAGCTAGAAAGTTTTAGTAGCAATTGTTTCAGTGTTTTTTGTTGAAGGTAAATTGTTCTATGTACACATGTTCCCTACCAATATTTGCTTCATCTTGGAGTGTTATGTTTATTTTCCTTCTTGTTAGTGTCCTTTGGGAGAAGGTTTTCAATTTACTAAAATGTTTAGATTATTTTCTTTTTATAATGGATAGAGTTAGATTAGGAGTCCTCAAACTGCAGCCAGTGAGTCAAATTAGACTTGTTTTGGTTAACAAAGCTATTGTAACAAAGTCATGTCTATAATTTATGTATTATCTCTGGCTAATTTCACACTACAACAGCAGACGTAAGTAGATGTGACATAAATTGTATGTCCCACAAAGCTGAAGATACTTATTATCTAGTCATTTACAAAAGACGTTAGCTAACTTTTGGTATAGACATAAACCACTAGATTTTAGACTTGGCAGTTTGGGGTAGTTTATGAGATTCTTAGTTCAAGAGTGCCCTCTTCTGTTAGTGTAAGTGATGCAGCTTCCTTGATGAATGGCATTTCCAATTTTGAAAGCTGCTATTACAATAGTCCCACCTTATCAGTGGTTTTACTTTCTGTGATTTCGGTGACCATGGTCAACTGCAGTATTTCATAAGTTTTATATCCCACACCATTCTGAGTAGCATAATTAAGTCTCGCACCATCTTGTGCCTAATTTATAAAGTAAACTTTACCATAGGTATGTATGTATTGAAAATAGCATATTATATGTAAGGTTTGTTTCTTTACCTGATTTCAGGCATCAATTGTGGGTCTTGGATTGTACTCCCTACTAATAAGGGAGAACCACTATAATTGTGTGTTTTTTAGTTATAGTTTTGTGGTTATTTTTATAGTAGTTCTCTATATAAATAAAATAGGCATACCTTTGTTGTTGATATAGCAACAAAATATTGTGTATTAACTCCCTCCCAAATAAGGAGATTAATATACTCAGTTATTTTTCCATTTCTCCATACCTGGTAAATATGTATATTTTTATTTATAACATTTAATAAATATTACACTAAGGTTTTTCCTATAATTTTTTTCTTAGTTTTTGTTTCATGTTAAAATTATCCAAATGTCTTGTCTTGTCTATTATTTCTTCATTTATTGGTTTCCTAGATTTTGTCATTAAACTGTTCATCCTCTTCAACATAAGCTCATGTGTATTATATTCCTTTAGTCCTTGTAAAATTGAGATTTTCCCTGTTGCCTTTGTAGTTTTAAATCTATTGGGTTAAGAATAACCTTGTTAAGATACATTATTTTTCTCTCAGTATATTGTTCTATCTGGGTTAGAAAATTGCTATAAAGATTTCAGAATACAGACTGAATTTTTCCCATTGTAAGTGATTTTTTTTTTATTCTTGTTTATCTATAGACTCAATTGAAATTCAGTATTTTAAGCCAGGTTAGGTGTTTTCTATGCGAATGTGCATTTTTTTCTATGAATGTTTGAATTCATTTAAAATATCTCAAAACACATTCTTTTATAGATTGGAATTTTGCTTTTCCATTTGTGAAGTTCTCTAGAAGTATCAATTATTAGAATGTTTATGTCCTTGTCTATTTGCATATTAATTAACATATCTATTTAATCACCTTAATCTCTTTATTCTGGATTGACTATAATTATTTTACATTGAAATGTCTACTGTGCAATTTTTTTATTCTATTTTAGCAATGATTAAGTTTGGGAGGTCTTGATTATTGCTAAAATATATATACCTAATTAAACTTTTATTTTTATTTTGATAAAAAAATATAGATTCATATACATCATTGGAAACAATATAAAAAGAATATGTGTTCTTTTCCAAATATTCCTTAATGATAAAATCTTGCAAAACTATAGTACAATATCACAGCCAGTACATTGTCATTGAGAATACCCCCAATCTCAATGATTTAATTATTATTACATCTATGCTGTTTATAATTTATACATTTTGAATTAGTTGTTTGGTCCTGTTTCTTTGACTTATGGTTTCTTTCTTTAACTCTTCAAAGCTCATTTTAGCTTCATCCACTTATTTTTTACTTTATCACATTAGCCTTTTGAATCTCTCTTACACCTTCTGCTGCTTTTTAGAGTCTATTATTATATCATTTTTCCCCTTGATTTTTAAATTTTAGCTTTCGATGGCAGAATTTTATCTTATAATACCAAACTTACAGATAATTTTGGTATATTTCCCTAAGTACTTTTTCTTCTAAATCAATCCTCCACCAATCTTTGTGTGTGTGTGGGGGGGGGGGGGGGGTATTGAAAGAGAGCTATTCAAAAATGTATTTATATTTTAAAGATTAATATTCAATTAATTAAAAGTTAAATACAATTACTTATTCCTTAAGCTTTTAAACCCAGTATACAATGTCTACCATTCTATTTATATGTAAAGCAAGCATTAAGATTAATTTAAGAGTACTTTAAATATAATAAATTGCATTCACAAACTTAATTAAACTTTGAATATTTTAACTTCATTTACAGTTTTGGTTTTGGTTTCTTTTTTCAGAGGGGAAAGGAGAGGGAGAGAGAGAAAGAAACATCAGTGATGAGAGAGAAACATGAATCAGTCTCCTGCATGCCCCCACTGGGGATTGAGCCCACAACCTGGGCATGTGCCCTCACTGATCAGGAATCAAACCATGAACTTCTGATTCAGAGGTCAACACTCAACTATACCAGCCAGACTTCATAAATTATATTTGTCTTATAATTATATTTTAATTAACATAGACATAAAACATTCCTGAATAGTCAAATAACATTTATAAGCCCAATAAATTGAACTTACATATTATAAATTATGTTTCCATAGTATTTTAGAAATTAGATTTTTAGCTACTATCATAAAGTTAACTTATTGAGTTTATATTTAAATTTGAAATCACAATTCTTACATACTCTCTAAGTAAAATTATCTTAAATATTATATATATTAGAATACGAAAATGTACATATTCCTTAATATGTAATTTTAATTTACAATTTTCAGTTTCTCAAAAATACATATTTGAAATTTCTGGATCCTACTTAGAGAAGAGAGATAGAGAAAGAAAAACATCTTTCTAAATCTTCCCAAGAATTAATTTTGCACTCAATATTAATTGACTCTAAGTTGCATATGGAATATCTAGCTATTATAGGGATACATTTTTTGTTGATAACACAGGTAAAACATATCAAATCGTATTAAAAGTTTTAAAGTATTGATCTTTTAACCCTTCAAACCAGGTAGTTTATATTTCTTTTTTTTAAGTTGATGATCATTTTATTTATTTTTTAATTGGATTTGGTTGAGTTTTTTACTCTTTATTGTTGAAAGTATTACAGATTTCCCTTTTCTCCCCATTGATCCCTTCTAGCCCACCCTGCCCCCACCTTTGGTTAATCTCTTCCCACCCACCCACCCACCCACCCACCCCCACCTTTCCTTTGAGATTTGATTTCTATTCTATTACACATGGCCTATATAGAAGTCCTGATCACTTGCTTGTATTTCCTCTTTTGTTCCTAATATATGCAAATGCATTTCTACCTAACACTAAAGTAATTCAAGCTTGAAGGAAGCCTCAATTTTTCATATTCTTAGGAAATCACAACTTAAACATATTAAAATGACCCATTAACCAAGTTTGCATATCTCTCATGACTTAATCGGACAATTCTTAGTACATTGAAATGAAATGCCTACTGCATATTATTTTAGCAATAATTAAGTTTAGGAGGTTTTGTATATCTACTGGAAGAATGTTGTTTTGGATATGATCATTAAGACAAATTTCAAAATGTTTAGATGCAAAAGAAGTATGTTTTTAAATTCTCAGAGGAGCAAAAATCGTTCCCCAGCTAATTTTAATTGTTCATTAAAATTAAAGGAGTTTCTATCATCACAATTGGGATAATATTATATGCCCACAAAAGACTGAGTGAGGAGTGTGCAGGTAAAGATGAGAACTGTGAAATATAAGGGAGCCAAAACCGGTTTGGCTCAGTGGATAGAGTGTCGGCCTGAGGACTGAAAGGTCCCAGGTTTGATTCCGGTCAAGGGCATGTACCTGGGTTGCGGGCACATCCCCAGTAGGAGATGTGCTGGAGGCAGCTGATCGATGTTTCTCTCTCATCGATGTTTCTAACTCTCTATCTCTCTCCCTTCCTCTCTGTAAAAAATCAATAAAATATATTTAAATAAAATATATAAGGGAACCACAAGACCACCCCAAGAGGGTCTAACTACAGGAGACTCCAAATAGATAGAAAGTTCATTTTAGAAGGCAATGTCTATGCTCCATATGCTTCTTTCATTAATCTCAGTGCTTACCATATTTTTTGACAGAGAAAATTATGAATGAGTGGTGCAATAATCTTGTAAATTAATGAGTCAGCAAATGTAGGGGAAGCAGTTAGAGGATTCAGTATCTCCCTAAATGATTTTGGAATTTAATTGATGGAAGAAATAACAAGTGGAACAGTTATTTTTGAGACCAGTTTTATTGATAGAATAATATTCTATATTTTCAAATAAGGGCCTTTATTCTTGCAGTCATCAGGTCCCAAAGGATAAATCATGCTAATTTGGGGGAGGGAGGAAAGTTGGGGAATTAGCACACCAGAAATTAGGGCAAAACGTGTTAGCTTTATTAATTTTATGTAGTAAGTTTCCTTTTTAAAATTAATAGTATAATAAATATAAGCATGCGAAAATCAAATAAATGAAATGATCTTTTAATTGAATTCTTAAGTCAAAGAACACACAAGTTTTTGTGCTTGAATGTTTCAAAGTTGAAATTTTCTTTTACCTCTATATAGATTTCTAATTATATGAAAAGTAGTAAACTTGGAAGTCCCACAGAAGCAAGACTGAATTGGTTTAAGCATTATTTTGTACTCATTGTAAAATGCAAGACATGTGGGTTATTATCTTTTTCCTTCTAGTTTACTATTATCTAAATATGTGGAGACTATATCAGAGAGCTGATTTTCTGATTAATTTCCATGGAGTTTCATATACTTGCAAATGTACTCCAGGGTTACTGAAAGGCACTTGTCATAGACATGTGGGTTTCTGAGTCCAAATCCTTCTCCAAGCAGAGATACTAAGGTTTTGTTTGCTTTACATATTACCTTTACACATAACACTGCACTCAAAGAAAGGTTAGGCCATTAATAATCTCTGTAAAACAGAACTAGTCTTATATGAATTAGCATGAGAGGAGCATTTAAGGCCTACAAAGCCCAATGTCACCTCGGCATGATATACCTGGAAAAGGCACAATCCAGAACACAAGGGCAGCACATTGTCCATGGTAATGTAATGTGACAGAGGAAAATGTATTGAAGTATGAGCATTTCATATTACAGTAAACTTTTCTGACAGACTTTTTTGTGTGTGCCATGAATTTAAAGAGAGGCAGCTTTAGGAAATAGTGCCCTTATGGCCTTCATGGGTTAAGACTGTTTCCAAAGGGAAAAGGAAACGCATTAGGAAAATTTGACTCTACATTTGTAATATGAAAACCCTTTTTTACAAATGTGAACTCGGCAGTGGGATCTCATTAGTGTAATGATTTGGCATAGATAA